ACATATTCAAAAAGGGTGGGGTAGGGGATTGGGGAGGGTGGGGTAGGGGATTGAAGAGAGTGGGAAAGTGGATTGGGGAGGGTGGGGTAGGAGAGTGGGAAGTGGGGTGCTTCTACCTTCACTGTTCTCAACTTTCCAAAGTAGTGACATCTCTTGTCCTTCAGTCAGACTCTAAAAAAAGGAAGGAAGGGAAAAAAAGAATAAAATGCAAAGAATGTATATTGAATGTAAAACATGTTTAAATAACGAAGAAAGCAGGATAGAGCACAAGGTAGAAGAGACCTGTGACGACTTTACTTACGAATGGCGCCTCGTTATGGACCGGAGTAGTCGTAACCGCTGGACAATCGGCTATCGTGAGTGTAGGCGCATCTACATGTAAAGGTATTGGGCTCCTTCCAGCTATTACTGTTTGAATGAAACGACTAAGAAAGAAAGAAAATAAAGGACATAAAGGTCGCAAACGGATATCAAACTAGAAAATTATACTCCTTGCACATGCTAAGAATGACCTATAAACAAAGAAAAATACAATAAAACATGCGCGATTCATTTTCCCGCCATTTTTTCTGAGATGTGTCTTCTTGTACCATATTGATCTCGTAGCCAATACAATAAGACAAGCGCGAGCCATTTTCCCGCCATTTTATCTGAGATGTGTCTTCTTGTACCATATTGATCTTGTACCATATTGTTTTATTACACATTTAGGTTCGCTATCAGTACCGCGAAGCCATAAAATAAAAATCATATGATTGACGTAGTAGATAAGGTATCACTTCACGGTAACCTGGAAGCCGTGAGTTTTTTTATTTTATCGAACTTAATGTGCAATAAACAAATTATTACATGTTAAGAGCTTGATATCGTTTTTATTCGCTCGTTTTTCATATCATATAACTCACTCGCTCGTGGACTCGCTTGTTCGCGATATATAAAAATGATATCAAGATATTAACATGTGTTAATCACTATTTACCTCTCGTTAGAGCAGTGCACGATATGCCTGACAGTGAAGGGCCGTCTGAACGAGCAAACAAGCTCGGAGAACGAACAAGGTTGAAGCCACTTGCAAGAGAACATCATCAGATGCTCTGTGATTTCCTCCATCTCGCTCTGCTTACTCAACGGCGCCAGCACCACCAGATCAAACTCCATCTTCTCATAAGGCCCACAACGAGGTAGCGTCACTATGGCAACGGCCGAGGTGACGTCATCGCCCTCGTGGAATGATGGGAAGGTAACCTTATAAGGGTGCTCGGTTTTGGGACTGGTTTCCAGGTTGGATGAGATGTACGCTGTTCCTGATGTGATTTGGTGTAGCTGTAGGTTTGTCTTGGATGTTATTTCGAGTTTGGAGTTTGGTTCTATTGAGCCTGGACCTACTGAGATGGTGATGCGTACTCGCTGCGACAGACCGGCAAGAAGATCTAAGGAAATAAAAAGCCCATTTAAAGCAGTAATTTTTTTAGTTTTTTGGCAGGAAATGGGTCAAAAAATGGCCGTGAGGGCTATTGGCAAGGGAAGGGGGGAGTCTCAGGTCTTTACAGGTAAAAGAGACATGCTTCGCAGGCGATGAAAAGATCACCTGGGAATCACCATGACAACATGTCTCAGAAATTCAAGGTACTGCTATATAGACCGTTTTCTCAAGGTTGCGTGCGCATCCTACTTGACGGGTCACAAAACTGAAAAACGCAAATTCAGTAGAATTGAAAAGTCAGTTTTATATTTAAAGAGGAGAATAATCAATGTTATGAGTTCTTATTGAATAAAAGTTCATAGAAATGTATGATACTGTAATCCTCATTATAAGCTCCGGTTCTGGTATCGTTGCCGGTCAAGAGGCAGCATGGTCGAGTGGTCATAGTGTCGGTCTCGCAATCCGGTGGTGCCGGGTTCGAGTCCCGCTGAGGCCACTAGCTGAGACTGTATTTGTCCTGATTTCGGATTAGTTCAGATTCAGTTTCTCGACCATGCTTGTAAATAGCCAACTGGTTTGCCTCCTTACCAGTTGGGATTCTTAACACGCTTTATGTTCATTTGATCATTTCATTTCAGTTTATTAATTGTAGGAGGGCCATAATGGAAACTACTGGGTTACCAGTAATGTATGTCACCCTCGTTAAAAAAAGTCAATTTATTTATTTATTTGGATGCGCACTTAACCTAAACGGTCTATTGCCTCATATTGGAACATAGAACAAAAGTAAACCCAGTGTCAAATAATACTTTCCATTGTTGAATTTCTCCTCCAACACCTGGCATCGGCATCATTTGCATATCAAGGAAAAATGGATATTTGACAGATGAGTTTAAAGGAGTTTCTTACCACTACTAGACACGGTGATCTTAGGGGGATCTGATACAACAGAGAATCCGCTAGCCTCCCTGGTGAGATTCATCTGTGGCCACACAAAGTTCAGCTGGCCAATCTCTACACAGAGTTGCTTCAAGAAGTACTGACCCTCCTCTGGGACCTGAAACCAAAAACAGAACAATGTTATAAAATAAAATAAATGAAAAAATAAATCCACTTTATTTACGTCTCAATGTATTTAGCTCTTCAGAGCTAATTGGGTAGACAAATTATGAACTGAAATAGATGAATATAAACATAATACTGTTAAATATCCCAACTGGCAACCCAGAGGCGAACCAGTTGGCTATTTACAAGCATGGTCGAGAAACTGAATCTGAACTAATCCGAAATCAGGACAAATACAGTCTCAGCTAGTGGCTACAGCGGGACTCGAACCCAGCACCACCGGATTGCGGGACCAACGCTATGACCACTCGACCATGCTGCCTCCTATGTAAATTCTGAAGCAACAGAGAATTCTAAACAGCGGTATTACCTGGACGGTTAGAGTGTAATGATTGATGCCAAACAGTAAAGGCACATTACAGCACTCCAGGGTCGCTTCTGACTCATCCTTCGCCATGGGAGGGTCCTCTGTACGAACAGACTGGGCTGAGTCAACCCTTGTTAGGTGAGGAGGGTCAAGCCCATCGTCATTGGACCCTACGTCACTGGCATCTATAACAAACACTGAACAGTTATCATACTGGGCATTGACTTAGATCAGCCCAGAGGTTGTTTCAGGGTTTGATCTGTGACTTAGCCACGTCCTGAATTAGATCAGTCCAGAGGTTGTTTTATGGTTCAATCTGTGAGTTAGCCATGCCCTGACTTAGATCAGCCCAGATGTTGTTTCAGGGTTCAATCTGTGAGTTAGCCATGCCCTGACGTAGATCAGCCCAGAGGTTGTTTCAGGGTACAGTCAGATAACACAGGTCTTCTTACCCTCGCTGGTCTTATCAGAGAGGTCTTCTTCAGACATGGCTGCAGAGGATATAACGTTTTCCTGGACGGTAGGGGACATGGCCCTGAGAGATCTTTTGCTGGAGTTAAGACTACTGCCTCGCCTGAGGTCTGATGAATGAAGGCTGAAACTGATACGGCGACACGTCACTTCCTGGAAAAGAAAACAGGGAAAACATCAAAAAAATTATGGGGTACTAATGGGCGTATCCTGGATTTTCTATGTGTTGTCACTCCCCCTAACCTCAGCGAGTCATCTTCTCTCCCTCCCCTTCCCCCAAATAATTGCTTATAGCAATTCAAGGGCGAATCTAGCCAAAATTTTAGGGGGGGCTGATTGAGTTTGGGGGGGGCTGATTGAGTTTAGGGGGGGCTGATTGAGTTTAGGGGGGGGGCTAATTGAGTTTCTTCCGTCAAAATAACGGAAAACGATAAAAAAAAGCATTTTTTTTATTTTTTCCTGCTGAAGGGGGGGGGGGGGGGGCTTCAGCCCCTCTTTGCCCCATTGGATCCGCCCTTGCAATTAATCTTCCAATGGGAAGAAATGACATACAGTAGATACCATAGGACTACCACTAATAGTACTTATGGGGAAGGCATGGCATCATCCCATTAACCATGATGGTAACAATTAACTGTAATACGAAGAGCAAGAGGATTTCCTGTGGTTACATAGAGCAACCCCAACAAGTGGGCGTGGCAGGTTGGGGGTAGGGTCCTTCCCCTGAATATGCACCTGTATTATTTAACTTCATATCTCCTGTTGACCGGTTAATAGAGATGGCTTTAAAATGAGAAGTTCAACACACCTCATGTAGTCCGCTTTGAAGGTCAAGTTCAACCTTGATTCGCTCGCCCACGCTTCCAATACCCTTAAGAAGCTTGATGCGAACATCCTTGACTCGAAGAAGGGGCTCGGCACGAATAATGATTGGCTGCTCTGGAAATATATAGTAAAAATGATGATCGTTAAATAACAGCTGCACCAACATCATTATAATCATGATCATTACCATTAACAACATTTACATCGACAACACCATCATTTGTCATCATTATCATCACCATCATTATCACCATTACCACCACTACCATCAGCATACTACTCACCAACATCTAGAGTATCTCGTATCAGCTGCAGCAGTTCTTGTGCATACTTGGACTTCTTTTCAGGAGGAAGAGTTGACTCACAAGCCAACATGGAACATGAGTAGGCATACGTCAACATTGTCAAAGAAAGCAACCAATGTACGTGTTGACTTTGGATAGGCAGACAGACAGACAGACAAAAAGACAGACAGACAGACAGACAGACAAGCATACAGACAGACAGACAAGCATACAGACAAGCATACAGACAGACAAAAAACAGACAAACAGACAAGCATACAGACAGACAAAAAACAGACAGACAGATAAGCATGCAGACAGACAGACAAAAAACAGACAGACAGACAAGCATGCAGACAAACAAAACACAGACAGACAGACAAGCATGCAGACAGACAAAAAACAGACAAACAGACAAGCATACAGACAGGCAAAAAACAGACAGACAAAAAACAGACAGACAGACAGACAAACATGTAGACAAAAAAAACAGACAGACAGACAAAAAACRGACAGACAGACAAGCATGCAGACAAAAAAAACCCAGACAGACAGACAAAACACAGACAGACAGACAAGCATGCAGACAGACAAAACACAGACAGACAGACAAGCATGCAGACAGACAAAAAACAGACAGACAGACAAGCATGCAGACAAAAAAAAACAGACAGACAGACAAGCATGCAGACAGACAAAACACAGACAGACAGACAAGCATGCAGACAGACAAAACACAGACAGACAGACAAGCATGCAGAAAGACAAAACACAGACAGACAGACAAGCATGCAGACAGACAAAACACAGACAGACAGACAAGCATGCAGACAGACAAAACACAGACAGACAAGCGAGCATGCAGACAAACAAAACACAGACAGACAGACAACGTAGACTAGTAGACCAGTAAGAAAGGATATTTATCAAGGTATTTGAGTTTCTTCTGACATACAACCAGCTTCATGAGTACTTGTGTAGCAAGAAGAGTCCATCTCTCATGGCGGTACACCTGATACACACTCATTAACAATGGCTCTGCTTGGTTATACTCTTCACGACACCTGAAACACCATTACACATCAGAAAACCAGATACTTTATTAGTTATTGCCTGGTAATTTCCATAGAACTTGAGGATGTGAATTTAAAAAGAAATAATACTCAAGAGAATATGACACAAACATTCACATCAAGATGATGGTAAAAATGTCCATGATGATGATAATGATGATAACGGTGATGATGCATGATGATGGTGATGATAATAATGATGATGATGATGATGATGATGTTTGAGATGATGATGAATGAAACTGATAATATCATTGATGATACTGATGACTAATGGTGCATGATAGTGATGATGCAATAAAAATAATTATATTTTTACAACCACCACTCCCCGTAAGGGGCACATTCGTGAGGTTCCCTCCACACACACTTCATTCTATATTTAAAACATACAACACTCAACTCACATGTTGATTTTTCACAATGTTGTTAATGACGGATGATGATGATGATGATAATGGTGGTGAGGATGGTAGTGATAATGATGATGCATGATATACGATGTGTACAGCACACTCTGCCTTACTCACATAAAGAACTCGGCCAGCTCCATGCCGAGAGACTTTGCAGCACGAGTCCGTCCAATATTTTTGAAAATTTTGATAGCTGTCTCAGTTAATTCCTACAGAGAGAGAAAATTTTGATTAAGATATAAAACATGACAGTGTAAGAATAAGTGATTGGCGTAAGAATCTACCATACAAACACTGTATGTACTGTTTATTAAATGGCTTAAAAAACTCATGATGTATGTTCTAATATTGTATCGAATTCTTTACGAAATGAACCAAGTTTGATAAAGAAAATCCAAGTTTAAGTTTATGCAAATGAAGATGAATCTATATCAGATATAAAACCTCCTTCATGGTAATGATTTCTATTGTGTTTCCTTCATGAATTATTGATGAGTTTTTAACTTGAATTTCAAAATAATGGACTACTTCAATGATATAGCGGCAACCAGTGGCAATATGTTTAAAGTGTTATAAGTTTAGGATAAGCCAGTAGCAGTAACAACAAAATTCAATAGCTCATACCAGATAAAGCTTTTGAAAAGCATGCTTAGATGATAATGCTTCATGAAGTTTTTTGGTTGGAGAGTTTGAAGCTAACTCGCCTGTAGAAAAGACAGAAAATTGATTGAGAAATGCCAAGATTGAGTATAGAAGCAAGCCATCCCATCCCCCTATCCCCTTGTTTACAGGGAAGCATCGGTAGTGTGGGCTGCTAATGCACAGCCCCTCACCAATGCGGCCCAAGTCCTGCCGATCTCAATGTTGTATGTGAGTATAGTTGTTTGTTGGTTCTCTCCTGTGCTTTGAGGGTTTTTCTCTGGGTTCTCCAGTTTTCTTCCCTTCTCAAAACTCAACTTCTAAATTCTAATTCGATCTCTGGGCTTTCACTTAGTTTGGAGCCTAGCTCTGTTGTGATTGTTCCACGCTGTGATACAACAGTGAAATCTTTGTAGATTTTTTAGAAATTTATCACTTATCACTTGTGCTTTTTGTCATGCAGCTTGACAGCAGCTCCTATCCTACATACTGTAATGCTAATGAGCCAGAGGGGTGATAACTAGAGGTTATCAGTTGTCTAAGCATCTGACCATTTTTACTCGTCACTTGTATTTTGGCTCGTCTTGCATAGAGATGCTCAAACTCTCTCTAAACTCTATTGTACCCGATGGCGAGCAGATGAGAAGTGCTGATATGTGAAAGCCAGTCTAATGTTACTAGCCTGATATGTACATACATGCGTATCAGGCATTATCTAATCTCATATCATGCAAATTCTTTGCAGAATTAAATGATAATGTACTATAGAATGAAGAAATTGAGATATTTTATTAGATCACCTTCTTCTTGGTTTTTGCCGATGCCAGACAACAACGAACAAACAACCTGCAGCTCTGTCTCACTAGGCATCATGTGTGGGAGGAGAGCACAATGACGACCAACCTCTTCCAGCTGCAAACATAAAATAAACCTTAGGTTTGATAAAGTTACATGTAAAATATATGGTATCTTTTAAGCTAATGTTCAGCGCTTGCCTCTCACCATAGGCTGGTAATGAGATTCATGGGATTCATTCAGCTGATTGATACCAAGCAATAGAATACTCTCTGGTTGATAGCACATGACGGACAGTGTTTGCCTGTCATTGTAGGCTGGTAATGAGATTCATGAGATTCATTCAGCTGATTGATACCAAGCAATAGAATACTCTCTGGTTGATAGCACACGATGGGCAGTGTTTGCCTGTCATTCCTGTCTATTTCATACCTTGTGTTTCGCATACTGATACAGATGAGCAAAATGCAGGCTGTATATGATGTCTTCCTCCCCGTACCGCTTAAAACATGCTCTCATAACCTCCAACACTGTCAGTACAATGCAGCATGCTATACTGCCTGTTGGCATACTGACCTGCAAATGTACACCAAATATGAGGCTCATGCTAAATTAGAGAACTAGAAAATGCACTTTCATGCTTCTCATTATGCAATACATTATTACTTAAAAAGCATGTGAGGAGTAATCAGAAAATGAGCAATCAGAAAATGAGCAATCAGTCCTCTGATTTTGCTGGGCCATAATCGTTCTGGCAATATTTCACACTTACCTTCAAGATTTCTACTTCATGCACAAGGTTGTGTAAGAAGTCCAGAGTTCGCTGTGCAATCTCCCAAGGTCTGCGCAGCTGGAGCAGCAATTTGCATTGGCGTGCGAACAAGTAGTGGCGCAGATCAACAAATGTTGCTTCTTGGGTCTTGATGAGCTCTCTCAGGAACAACTGGGGTTCTCTGCTCATTGGGGCCCCGTCGCAACACTTGCATTCACGCATGAAGATATCAATGCAAGCTAATGACTCTGCAATAAAAAATATCATAATCAACAACAATAATTTTGATGAAAAACACTACACTTTTGAATTTTGTTGAAGACATGCTTCGACAGAATGTAGGTCATTATCAGTTCCAATAATAATGATGATGACGATGACGATGCATGGATGATGGTGATGATGATGCATAGATGATGATGATGATGATGCATGGATGATGATGTTGATGATGCATGGATGATGATGATGCATGGATGAGGATGTTGATGATGCATGGATGATGATGCATGGATGATGATGATGATGATGCATGGGTGATGATGATGATGATGCATGGATGATGATGATAATGCATGGTTGATGGTGATGATGATGCATGGATGATGATGATGGTGGTGGTGGTGAGGATGATGGTGCTGCTGATGATGATAGTGCTAATGATGGTGGTGATGATGGTGGTGCTAATGATGATGATGGTGACCGTTATGATGGTGAAATTTAAAATGATGATGATGATGCATGGTGTTGATGATGATATCAATGATGATTTTGATGATGATGATGATGATGATTTTGATGAGGATGATTATTATTGTGACAATGGTGCAGGATAGTTATGATGCAATTAACTTGTCAAAGTAATTACCTTATGCTGTCAGCAAAACTTATCGCTCTAAACCTTCTCATTCCTTACAAACAGAAAGTTCTTTACCTCCATATTTAGAATTGATGATCAGCTGTGTCAGAAGAGCATCAATCTCGTCATACTGTATCAGCGCTTCCTCATACAGACCCATCATTTCGAAAACAAATGCTAGCTCTTCCTGAACAAACAGTGAACAAATATAACATAAGTTACAAGTGTAATCTATTTAGTGTTAGAGTATCTCATCTTCTTCTTATCCCATCCTATTTTATCTCATTGTCTACTTTTATTCCTTTTTTTGTTTATTGAAGTAACAATATTCGTATTATGATCATCTGGGTGGATGTAGTCCTGAGAAGGACCATTTGATGGGACTGACGTTTCGACAACCTGTTTCCCTGTCTGAATTTCTCTTACATTTCATCCCATTAGCCTCTAAGAAATGTTCTGAAATGGGAAAACAATATGCCCATTAAAGGTGAATAGATCAACACAACTTTCTTACATGAAGAAGAAAATAAGTTGTAAAACTCCATCTTGGCTCTGTCCTCTTCTCTCTCAATGCTCGAACCCTGTCTTCAAACTTGCCGAGGTGACGATTGAAAGAGATTAAGAGTAGCTGTCGCAACTTGACCACGAGACTCTGCCAGGATTCTATTGACTTTGTAAACTGACTCTCTTTCATTGGTTCCCATAATTGGGCCACTCTGGAATAGGAAATATACTAGTCACAAATCATAGCATACAGTACTTTAGGAGCCCTGACTTGTACTGTATGGATGGAATACAGGACAAAAATTCTGTGTACTCTCAGATCACCCATTTCCAATCTTGGACATACTGGTTGACAATATTTTTTGTCCGACAATGTTTTTTGAAATATATTATAGCTAACCTGTCGTTGGTTTTCCCTCCAAAGTCACTCTTAATTTTATCAAAGACGGATCCTCTAAACTGTATCTTGGATTTATTTCCTTTCAAAGAATCCTGAGCAATAACTTGGACAATCAAGTTGTCAACGATGCCTCTGTCTTTGAGCTTTCTCTGCCATTCGTTGATACTGTCCTTCACTTTACTCCTATACTCATCAACATCCTGAAGATAAATAATAATAGTTGATAAAATGTTATTGTAAATTAGAATATACCTGAAACTACAAGACCCTCCCCACTCCTTGGGAATTCCAATCTCCCTCTGTGGTGGAGGTATGGATATTTTCTGGAACTACACAATATACCCTCCTCAGACCCTCCCCACTCCTTGGGAATTGCAATCCCCTCTGTGGGGGAGGTATGGATATTTTCTGTAACTACACAATATACCCTCCTCAGACCCTCCCCACCCCTTGGAAATTGCAATCCCCCTCTGTGGGGGAGGTATACTACAAATAATGACATGTTCTCACCTGGCAATCAGTCCAATAGATGTGGAAAAAAGGCTGCCGATGTAAACTTGATGCCTTCTCTATATCTCCAACCAGCATACTCTCCTGCAGGTTGACGAACCGTGCCTTTAATTTTACTGTCTTTGGCGGCCTGCCAAATGACCTGTGCAACAATTATTATGTATGACTGAGCAAAATTGTGTACAATATACAGGGAAAGATTATTGGGATCTGTTTATTGTATTGTGGAAACTGGAAATTTCAATACCTTCTCCATTCTGTAGCTGTATCTGGAAGCCTTCGTTCTAGCTCTGGGTTTAATTGAGTGTAGACACTTTTATCTCCATAACCTACAAAAAATGTGGAGAGTAATTGTTAACAGATTACATGATTACCTCATAGACATCTTCTCTCTCCTCTAACATGATTATACTGGGAAATTCAATAAAGGAATTTAGAGGAGATTCACTATACACCCTCCGCAGACCCTCCCCACCCCTTGGACATTCCAATCCTCCTCTGTGGGGGAGGTATGGATATTTTCTAGAACTACACAATATACCCTCCTCATACCCTCCCCACCCCTTGGAAATTCCAATCCCCCTCTGTGGAGGAGAAATAGATATTTTATGGAACTACACAATATACCCTCCGCAGACCCTCCCCACCCCTTGGACATTCCAATCCTCCTCTGTGGGGGAGGTATGGATATTTTCTAGATCTACATAATATACCCTCCTCATACCCTCCCCACCCCTTGGAAATTCCAATCCCCCTCTGTGGGGGAGGTATGGATACTTTCTAGAACTACACAATATACCCTCCTCATACCCTCCACACCCCTTGGAAATTCCAATCCCCCTCTGTGGGGGAGGTATGGATATTCTCTGAAACTACACAATATACCCTCCTCAGACCCTCGCCACCCCTTTGGAAATTCAAATCCCCCTCTGTGGGGGAGGTATGGATATTCTCTGAAACTACACAATATACACTCCTCAGACCGTCGCCACCCCTTGGAAATTCCAGTCTTTTTAAGAAGAAGACATTTTCTTTGAATGCAGATATAATTTTTAGCACAAGCCACAAAGTAGGAAAACTGTCTTATCAGATACACCGTGCAAGCCAAGTCTGACAATCACTTTCAATTTCAAAACAAAATCTTTCTCGACCGTCTCTGACAACTTTAACGTCTACTTACACGTTACAATGGGCTTTAAATCCATCCTAGACGCCAAAGTCCAAAAGCCGCATTATCAATGCATCACCAATGACACAAAAATTTAATTTTTCGCGGTGAAATTCAGCGAAAATTAATTTTTTTTTTGGACGAGTTTTTCTAATTCTTCCTTTGGGCAGCCATTGTGATTCCGGAAGCACATGCGCAGGAGCTATATCCGCTGGTTGTTATTGTTCGCACCTTCATAATCCAAGATGGCGGATATTTTGTTGTAAATAATTTAAGAGCCTCCTCGTGTAGTTTTAATCTGTGTTTTCCATTTTTATTTTCATCTTAAGTTGATTTTTTGTTAACAAATCGGATAGTGTGGGCGGTTTTTACGTGGAAGACAAATATTGCAATTTTTTGAGCCGATCTTCATAATATCTAATTATAACTACTGGAGGATCTACTGGAGTGTAACTTGATACACTTTCCAAAATTTAGGTCAAAAAAAATAATCGAAAGAAAACAATTTGGGAAATTATGGCGTTCAATCTTGGTCGCAGACGTAGGAAGTTCATTTACCTTGCAGCTGCAGCTGTATTTTTGTTTGGATGCGTGTTTATAATGCGTAGAATTTCGTCAAGTGAGGTTGAAGATGAAGAAGAAGTTAGGAAGTCCAAGATAACGAGAGACTGGGAGAGATACTTGGACCCCAAAGAATATTTGAAAGATTTAATGAAAAGAAATAGAACTCTGAATTCAACATTCTTTGATTTTATTGAACAAGAAGAGAAGAAGGAAGCAAGATTAAGGAAAGCTGGGAAAGCTGTTGTTACAGAGGAAAAAGCAACAACCGGAGATGTGAACTTAGAGCTTCTCGCCCAACCACCAAAYTATAGCGTTCATATATTTTATTACATGTGGTATGGGGATCCGTCAAAAAATGGCAATTATGTACACTGGAATCACAAGTATTTGCCACACTGGGATCCTCTTATAGCCAAGAAATACGCAAAGGGTACCCACGTGCCCCCGGAGGATATCGGAGCCAATTATTACCCAGCTCTTGGGCCGTACAGCTCAAAGGACCCAAAAGTGATTCATAATCACATGAAGCAGCTTTGTAGGGCGGGCATTGGGGTACTTGCCGTGTCGTGGTACCCCCCTGGAAAAGCTGACGACCAAGGTGGACCCCCAGACACTTTAATACCTCTACTGCTAGAGATTGCTTTAATGTACAATTTAAAAGTGACCTTACATATAGAGCCTTATAAGGGCCGTAACGACAAGACACTACATGAAGACGTGAAGTATATTGTTAAGACGTATGCCGAGCATAAGGCATTTTATAAGCACAAGCATAAAGATGGTCGAATGTTGCCATTACTTTACATTTATGACTCATATCTCACCCCCGACGCAGACTGGGCAAAGCTGCTAAAGCCACAGGGTTCCCACAGCATTCGGAATACAGAATATGACTGTATTTTCATAGGATTGATTGTCAAGGCAACACACAAGGATACTATCCTCATTGGTGGATTTGATGGGTTATATACCTATTTTGCTACGGATGGCTTTACATATGGTTCGACGTGGAGAATATGGCCTCAGCTTTCTGCTTATGCCACCCAAACTGGGACCCTTTTTATCCCAAGTGCTGGCCCAGGGTATATCGACACTCGAGTTCGGCCTTGGAATTCTCAGAATACTAGGTCTCGGCAAGGTGGGGAGTATTATAAGAAAAGCTGGAATGCTGCAATCAGTGTTAAACCAGAGATTATTTCAATAACATCGTTCAATGAATGGCACGAAGGAACACAGATTGAAGAAGCTATTCCCAAGCAAGTGTCAGGAATTACTTACAATGACTACACTCCTGAAGGACCTGATTATTATATAAAATTAACTAAAGAATTTGTCAAAAAATATCAAGAATCACAAAATAAGTAATTCAATTCACATGCCAATCACAAGCACTGTGTAATATTTTCTCATTTTAGATATGTATTGTCATTCACTTGAGTATTATGTCTTTGTTTGCAACTAGTCTTATAGAAGTAGGCCATGTTGTGGTCTAAATAGCCCACTTCCGAGATATGCTTCGCTTGTCACGCACAAAGGTTTCAGCATGACCTGTCACGAATGACTGAGCATTTTGAAACCTTTGTGCGTGACAATCGAAGCATATCTCGGAGGTGGGCTATTGGGATAACAGTACACCTAAATTTACTATAAAGGTTATTGACAAAGGTCAAACAGCTATTAGGATTATTTAACTATTATCAATTCAATAGATTAGATTTCATGTGAGTGTGACAGCACAGTAACTTGTATTAACTCAGAGTTACTGGCATCTGAAAATCCAAACTCAAATCATTTTTTAAAAATTCAATTCAGTATTGCTTAGGTTTGTTAAGATAGGATAAAGACATTTAACCTGTGAAATAAGAATGTTATTCAAGGTGTAATAGACACACAAAAAATGGAATTAGGGATGGTCTACTAATGTGTATTAGTGAAATAAATACAGTCAATGTCATTAACATTGTCCACTGAAAAAAGACATTCAGACATTTAGACATTCAGACTAAAAAGAAATATCACGTGTTTCCTTGAATGTTTCGGCATAAAACAAATGCTGAAATACCATTCTCCATCGTATATCCTCACTAAATGGTCTGGGCATTCTGGATTTTCGATTGACTAGTTGAATCTTACATTCAAAGTTAGGCTGACGCACACGAGGCAAAGAATACATAATGAAACACATGATATTTCTTTTAGTCT